AAGTGCTTGGCAAAGGTTTGGAGCTAGAAAGAACCCCAGAGATTATATCAGCCGATTCCTTCACCTTCCAGATGGAAGAACCAAGGGCCAAAGAGGGTCAGGTCACATAGTCAGAGACTCAGTGTCATATAGTCAGCTTGTGGCAGTGTGGGGACCAGCACCCAGGCTTCCACTATGTCAAGTGGACTCTGAATAAAGCCTGGGGACTGGGCAAGGGTGCAGGGAGGGCGAGGCCCTCACCATCCTTCCGGTAGAAGCAAATTTCAGCTTGGTGCTCCTGACGGCCCTCCAGGGCCTTGTGCAGCCTCTGCAGGGCTGGCTCACTGGTCTCTGGACCATAGAGGAAACGGCAGCTACACGTTTTCTGCATGACCTCAGTGCGGCCGTAGCCCGTGAGCTCGCAGAAGCCGTCAGAGCAGTAGACGATGGGAAAGCCCCGTGGGCCCTGTGCATTGGCTAACAGGAAGTTGCTGTCTGTGGGGAGAAGAGGTCAAGGTCAGGTCAAAGCCAGGAGGGAGCTCAGCTTCCAGGTGGACAGTACCTCCCCCAAGCTGTGGTCAGAGGTCACAGAGCCAGAAGCTTCCCAGGCTTCCATGTAATTCCTGGATCCCCCTTTGGTATATTCTGAAATGAGAGTAAGAAAAGATAGAGCAAAAGGACAAGGACTTAAGGGTGGTCTGGAACTGGGACAGGGACTACTATGAGGTTGAAGAAGGAACCCCAAGAAGTCATGTGGTCCATCTCTCTGCTTTTACTATAGGCAGCATAGCACGGTGAGTACAGGCATGAGCTCCATCACCCCATCTTTGCTACTTACTGTGTAATCTTAGGCAAGTTAATTAACTCCTCTGTGCCTCAGTTTCCTTGTCTGCAAAGTTTGTGTGTGGGCGGGTACTAGATCTTCCTCACATGGTTTTGTGAGAGTTACATGAGTTGCCTGCGGAGAGCAAGTCCTGGCACACAGTGTTACACTGAGAAGGTGAAATGATTCCCCCTTATAAGTTGCACAGCTTTCAAAGCACATCGATGGCCACTACCCTGTCATCCTATTAGAGAGTGGACAGGGCAGAGATTCTGGTGCTATCACACTCATTTTATTGATAGAAAACCAAAAGGCAGAGATTATCCAAACTCACAAATCTCCTTTGTGTGGGGAGGGAGAAGCGTTTTCATTCCCTGCCTTCCAGGAAAGGTCCTCTTTTTAGCACCCCTTTAGCTAATTTCAGGGACCTGTCCCCAGTGCTTAAAGTCTGACAGGATTGGGCAATGAAGCTGTGGCTCCAGTAGCCCCAGCAGTGGGACCTGAGCTGGCTCCTTCCAGTTCCAATAGGTGGGAGGCCACAGCAGGACTCTATAGGCCTTCAGGGACAGAGAGACGGGGTCTGAGACACAACCAGTCCCCGAGGTGCTAGGAACTGGGGCGGCTGATGGAGAGACACTGAGAGTACCTGGGAGGCGCTGGGCCCTGGGCAGCAGCCTCCTTCTTCCATCCCAGGGCGTGTTGCCCCAGCGATGGGCGCTATGGAAACAAGGGAGGTGTGTATGGGGCGGAAGGGTGAGGAGGCTGGTAGGGTCCCCGGCAGCTATGTTTCCTCCCTCAGGTACCGCTCCCCTACCTTCCAGATCCTGGCCAGAGTGCCTGAGGTGGGCAGGGGGAGATCCTTAGGCTCCAAAGTAGGAAAAGGGAATGAAATGGAAGGAGAAGAGGCGGGGATGGAGGAGTGTGGCTGTCCAAGGTGCTGAACCTGGGACCCAAGCTGGGGTCGGCGAACAAGGAGTTCCTTTTGTCACACGGACTACCCCTC